GGCGATGTAAATGGCAGGATAGCGATCAGCTCTGGGCGGCGCAGATGAAAAGACACGGGTGCAGCCGTTACTGGCAATATGAAAGCTGCGCACGCAACAGTCTCTCGCCCGCGCCGCAAATTTGATGAGAGTTTCATCGGGGGGGGGGGCTGACGCAACATCCGGCGAGGCAAAAAAAAAAAAAAAATGTTACACAGTTTGGGATCATCTCCCTTGGGGACTTCTTTGTTTTGGTGCTGCCGTCACACACAGACGACCAACCCCCAAAATGCGGTCACATCCACTCAATCGTTCACTCATGCACACAAAAATGCCATAAGGGAATGAGCAATACACACAAAAACTTCCATTCATTGCTAATTGACACACACGGAGTGACAACGCAGACAACATTACGATGCAGGCATTCTCCCGCTGTTCTCTGAGTACAGCGACAATGGCTGGAGTTTAGTTGGGGACCTCGTCCGGCTCTTTTTGCCGTTTTCTACGTGGCATGTCTTCCAGCTGAACATTGAAGGTGCACAAGTTTTGAAACCAAACAATGCTGCCTTGAAAACAGACCCAGCTTGCTGCTAACTTGTAATGCAAAACGCCTCGGACATGCGAACAGTCTACGGATCATTGCGCACTGAGCGCTCCAAGCAATGGGTATTTGAACACAAATGGTGGAGCAACATGTGTTGACAGATATAACATTCACGGTCAGATATCTTTGAGAGGAAATGGTTGATATTACAATATTTTACTTGGTAGTAGTAGTAGAAGTCTACTCATCTGTGTCTGGATGATTGCATTATTTTGCCACCCAGTGGCAAAAGCAGGAACAGCAGAAAGATGATCACATTTGGTTTAATTGTCCGTTTTTTTTTTTTTTCTTATCGAAAAACACTGCAAATATTTCATTGCTTTTCTTTTTTTTCAATTCAGGAAATTGATACAAGTGCAAAAAAATTCAACTTCTATCTCAAGGCAACATTGGATCGCCCATTCATTGCGACTGAAAATCGGAGACATGACGGATTGACTTTTCAGAGTTTTTGCTGTGGGTTTTTAATTTGAATATTTTTGCTCGTATAAACTATGTGCCCTGGCTTCCACAAAGGCTGGCAAAGCTTCACAAATTGACCTGTTAAGTTATGTTGTGCTCATTCGGTGGTGACCTCCTCAAGCGCAAGCCTGTAGAACAACACTTGTCGACTGAACGGACCTCCGCTCGCACTCGTCAAGAATTTCCACAGCTATGCGACACACACACACGCACGCGCGCAAACGCGCACAGTAACAACCTCCTCCAGCGGCCACACGGTTGTGCGCGCCTCCGATTGGAAGGCGTCGCTGAATGGCGACTCCCACCGACGCTCCCCATTGGCTGATCGAGAGGAGGGGGCGGGGCTTCAGCAAGCTCCATAAAGGCGGCGAACGCCGGAGGAGCTCTAGTGTTGGCAGGCTCGGACTCCATCCGCGGAACGGTGCGGCGCGAGAGTGGAAGAGGAGCGAGGACGCGCGCTCATGGAAGTGAAGGATATTTAAGCACCTGCCTGGGGGGCGCACAGGTATTCTCTCTTTTGGGGGGGGGGCTTTGCGCGCGTTAAAAAGGGTCGCGCGTCAGCTTTCGGGGAGCTGGCGTTGACAAGTGCCAGTCGAGCGCCTTTGTTGACGCAGCGCCCGTGCGTAAAATGCGCGCACTGGCGTGTTTTGGTGACGCCTCTCTGCTTGTCCCTCCCATGCAGACACCGCAGTCCATGCCTCTGCCTTGCCGGGTCCTTGATGGGAAACCAACTGGACCGGATCACCCACCTCAACTACAGCGAGCTGCCCACGGGGGATCCGTCCGGGCTGGAGAAGGACGAGCTGCGTGTCGGCGTCGCCTACTTCTTCTCCGACGACGAGGAGGAGGCGGCGGACGAGCGCACGCCGTCCGACTGCGGCTTCGGCAAGGAGCTGAGCCCGGCCGACGAGGACGGGGGACCGGAGGGCCCCTTCTCGCTGAGCGAGGTGGAGTACTCGGCGTTCCGCGCGCACGAGTGCATCTTCTCCAAGCTGCGCGAGAACGAGGACCTGGACGTGTACGCGGCCACAACTTTGCTGGGCGTGTGCAAGCCGGGCGACTTGCTGGAGCTGGTGGCGGCCGCGCAGCCGCCGCACTGGGCCGTGTGCGAGCGCGACGGCCGAGTCATCCACCTGCACAAGGGCGAGATCCGCCGGGACGGCTTGCTTGAGGTGTGCAACGGCCGCCGCGGCAGGATCGCCAACGGCCGCTACCGCTACCGGCCGCTGCCCGCCGACCTGGTGGTGCAGAACGCGGCGGGCCACGTGGGCCTGCGCAGCGACGAGATTTGCTGGACCAACTCGGAAAGTTTCGCCGCCTGGTGCCGCTTCGGCAAACGCGAGTTCAAGGCCGGCGGCGAGGCGCACTCGGCCGAACAGCAGTACTTGCTCAAGGTGCGCCTGGCCGGCAGCGGCGTGCACACGCTGGTTTTTCGGAGCCTGGAGGACTTGATCCGCGAGCGGCGGCGGGTGGACGCCAGCGGGATCCTCGAGGAGCTCTCCCTGGTCGGCGGCGGGGGCAAGGAGTGACCGGGGGCGAGGGGGCTACCGTTCAATCTCCCCCGTCCTGCCGACCTGTTAGTTTTTGGACATGGCCGTGATGAATTTCAAGACCGCAGACGCTGTGCCGTTGTGGAATGTGGAACCGCGAATACGAGACAAGCCCCCTCCCCTCACCCTCCCCCCGTTATCCTCTCATGACTGGGCATGGTTCCCACCCCTCAAGCTGCATTTTTTTGGGGCGGTGAAGGGGGCAGTGGGGGGGGTTCCCCTCCTATTTTCAAGCGTTAAAAGGTCCCCTCCTGGTCACACATAAGCTGCCGAACGGCAGAAAAACAAACGGAAGCATTTTTGGCTTGTTCGAAAGCGCCCCTCTTCTTTGCCATACGAGGACAATATACTTGACTCTCAAACCACAGCCATCTTGCTAAAAAAAAAAAAAAAAAAAAAAATGTATTCCTTTTCCCCCCCATTTGCGTTGAGTGGATTTTTGACCCTGATCTTGTTTTTTTTTTTCCCCCCCTTCTCTTTTTTTGGTTCAAATAAATGGAGGTTGAAATATGAAAACAAGCACTTGTTCCAGCAAGTGTTATTAGGTTTGTGCGCACACACACACACACACACACACACACACACACACACACACACTGCAGCTCTTGCTCACTGTCTTGAATTATTCATGCACTGCTGACCTGCCTGGGGCCTGATCGACTTCATATATCTGGCCGTATTTGAAACGCCAGGAAATGGTCATCTGTGCTGGGTATGCAAAAGCTTCCAAGAAGAAGAAAAAAAAAATCCATGGGGAGTTTAAGCAGGTGCATAGCTTGACGGAGAATGAAAGGTCCGCTTTGGTCCCATGTCAGCAGAGACCGGGATGCGTTTTAGCCAACTTGTCCTTTTCGGGGTCTGTCTTGGAATGCGGGCTTCCCACGTGTACTTTGTAGAACATGTTTTTCACACGCTCGCATGGCTACTCCGGCCGGCTTCCTCACACATCCCAAGAGCATGCGTGTCGGGTGATAATTGATGACTAGCTCAAGCGACATAAGATTAGCCAAAAATGAAAGTGAGATTGAAAGCAGCTCCAGTGCGAGTTCGAAAACACAAAAATTACATCAAAAATATCAAAACTAGATTTTTGAAGTGTGTTCCAGACACGTTTGAATAAAGTGGACGGCTACAAGGGAGGCTCGTTTGCGCCGGTGTTTACGCGTGCGGCGGCGCCTCAAGCGGTTTGGCGGCGGCCAACTGGCAGACGACGAGCTCCTGATGCAGGAGTACGTCGGCCCGCCCGCGCTTTTGTCTGCCGATGCTCGGCCGGCCACGTGTCGATCCAATCGGAAGTCGCAAGGGTCCTTGGTGGTCTTTGCGATTACATTCTCTCGCCTAAAATGGGCTGCGCATGCATACGGAGCATTTTGTGATCCTATTCTGATCCAGGTCAGCAAAATGCCGACTGTCTAATGTCTCAAAGTTTATCCTGAGTGATGATCCCGTAGTGTGTGCGTGTGTCTAAAGTGAGAATGGTGAGTTTTCTGCTCAGGAAACAGACGTGTGCTAGTCTAACCACTAACAGAAGCACTGACCTACATTTGCAATTCTAATTGAATTGTATTCATTTATTCCCAAGAGTCGATTCTCTTCATCTCTTTTGGCTGCATTGGTTCCAGCGCATGTACGTCAGAATCTTTTTGTTTTTTTTTCTCCCAATCAGATTTCAGCCTTTGCATGCCAAACTGCCTTCAGAGGTAGTAGTGCTATCTCATGCCACTTCAACTCAAAACAGCAGTGGGACTGTTTCTTTAACCGATCAGATTCCAAATTTGTGTCATTAGTCTGAGCAAAACTTGCTCCTCGGTTCTTAGATTGTTTGCTGTGTAGTCAGGAATGCCAAAACTGCCTGGGATTACACAACACAACTTACGGCTTTCCACAGGGCTCAACGCTAGGTCCACTGGACATCTGTCAAAAATGACTTTGTAAGTTACAGTCAGTAAGCTACATAAAATATGTGGCTAGTTATGGTCCTTGGTATGCGGCCGTCACGTCAGCAAACATTTCGAACGTAAAAACATCAAAAAGGTTACTTGTAGTTTGGACTGCTCTATTTTTTGTTCATCTGCTCTATTCTAAAACGGCCAAATTGTTGTGAACAGGTCAGAAAGTCTTGAGACTTGCTTGTGGCTGTTTTGGTTCATCATCATTGCATTAAATCATGGCTGGCTCAGGTGTGCGCACGTCAACCCACCCCCCCGATCAGATTCCAAATTTGTGTCATTAGTCTGAGCAAAACTTGCTCCTCGGTTCTTAGATTGTTTGCTGTGTAGTCAGGAATGCCAAAACTGCCTGGGATTACACAACACAACTTACGGCTTTCCACAGGGCTCAACGCTAGGTCCACTGGACATCTGTCAAAAATGACTTTGTAAGTTACAGTCAGTAAGCTACATAAAATATGTGGCTAGTTATGGTCCTTGGTATGCGGCCGTCACGTCAGCAAACATTTCGAACGTAAAAACATCAAAAAGGTTACTTGTAGTTTGGACTGCTCTATTTTTTGTTCATCTGCTCTATTCTAAAACGGTCAAATTGTTGTGAACAGGTCAGAAAGTCTTGAGACTTGCTTGTGGCTGTTTTGGTTCATCATCATTGCATTAAATCATGGCTGGCTCAGGTGTGCGCACGTCAACCCCCCCCCCCCCCCACCATCCCCTGCTGCCTCCTGCCCTTGAGAGTTAGCAAAATGAGGCCAGTGGGGCGGTTGATGTTGCGAGGGAAGATTTACGTGTGTGTTGACGCGAGTGGCCATATGTGCGCATGAGCCCATGGAAGCCTGAGAAGCAACAAGCTCCAAGATTGAGCGGCTTGATTTGCTTGGGCCATATGTTGCCCGCATCTTTATTCATGAGGGGCTGCCTCACATTTGATTTTTTTGGTCAGCTATCAGCGGACGGTAAACGCTGTTGCTAAGGAAACCAAGGCCGCTGTTGTCATACTATACATCCACCGACGGGCTTTTTGCGCAAACCCTTCGCAGTTGCGTATGCCCGACAGCTACTCGTGTAAGACAAACACAAACAACCTCCGCCTTTTCTGATTGTGTTCACGCTAGCGTTGTAATACTTCAAACTCAACACCACATTTTGAAGGTCTTGGAGGAGACCGGCACCAAGGTGGTAAAACAACAAATACCTCCAAATTCACGTCGAACTAGCTTTGCAGAGGATAAAGAGTATATACTTGTGCATAGTTGTCTGTCTACAGGTCGCTGCTGCACCGTTTGTGTTCAAATACCCATTTCTTAAAGCTTGCAGTTCATTTTTACTCGCAAGTCAAAGAGAAAAATCATGTGAACGACTGCTCGTATCGCCGCAAACTGGGAAGTCTGGTCACTTGTATATCAAGGCACCGCTGCAGTTTTGATTGAGCATGAGTGTTTTAGCGTACGTGTTGTCTCCCCCTCCCTCCATTTTTTCGCATCATCCTCTGGAACAAAGCCAGCAAAGACAACAATGAAAAAAATGTATTTGGCGAAATAAATATTTGCTAGTGGTAGTTGCCGGTTGGGTTCCAGTTGACAGATAGAAACGTCGGTGGCAGTTAACGATTAAAATGAATAGCACTGTTTAAACCGTATGTAAACAAATTAATTGGTTTTATAAGGTGGATGAACTGTGCGTCCTGCAGTCCTTGCATTTTCGATCCATTTTTTTTTCCCCCCCACAACGTCAATTGAGTGGAGGTGTATCCGAAACGCGATGGTTATCACTTTGCTGAAATGATTGCTTCTCACTGTGCTGCCCTGCAAAGTTTTTACCAATCAAAAGTTTTCCCCGCAAAAGCCTTTTCGGTCATCGGCAAAGGTGATGCAACTAAAGGCGAGGATTGCGCGCTGGCATATCAATTTTTGATTTGGTGGGAGGCCTAAGTCCCTGCAGTTCCGCGCTGCCTCGTACCTCCGAGTCTCTCTGGCGCGAGGACGGCGGACGGCGTCATCCGAAAAGGTCAGCGACGCGTCACTGCTGACCGCTCGGCACGTCAGAGGTGAAGCGGCGGCCATTGCCCGTTGGCTAATCCGCTACCATGAGGAAGAAATAAACGTGCAGTCTTTGGAAATGAGAAAAATGAGAATCCGCTGCGAGCCAACTTTGATATTTTCAAGACGGGTTGTGAGATGAATTCAGATCAAACACTGTACGGGTTGTTTCATGACGTCTCTCGACAGCATTAAGACACACAATGTCAGTTGGGCGGAGGAGTAAGGTTTGAATTTAAGAGCCTGTCAAGGGAATTCAGAGATATGGTTTTGAATGTAAACGATTGAAGACAACGGCTGAAAAGAGTGAGAACTGTCTAGCATTTCACCTTGCAATAAACAGTTTTCACCATTTCAGTTTTCCTGATTTAGGTGAAGGGGGCATGGCTAAAACGGTGCCTGATGACACACAGCACTGGACTGACATTTGAGTGGGGCGGGGTTTCAGTGCATTCAGCGGCCACGCCGGCTGGCGTTCAAAAGCGGAGAGGACGGATCGATTCGTCACCATTTTGAAGCATAATTTTCTACACGTGGCGATTTTGTTGACAATTTCAAACGTGGCAGAGTTGTAACCAACACTCCGTCGTGTGTCAAAGACATTTATATTCACTAAGCGGATTTTGAACTCTCAGCAGTGCGAGTCGATCGACGGAAATTCAACGACTTTCGACTGAGGCCCTATCCCTGTACGAACGGACTGACTGATTGACTGGCCTTCAGAGAGCGTGACAAACCCGTCTCGACTGTCAAAACAAATCGAAAGGATGCTTCCACCGTCTGTCGGCTCGGTATGCTAATGACAAAAACAACGTTAACAACAAAGCAGCTTGCTGGATCCTCAAAGGAAGAGACACGGGCTCATGTCGACATCACCGCATAAATAATACAATTACATCTCCCACTGAGTGCGTCTGTACGGACCATAACAATATAACAATGGCTACTTTTGCTAATTGTTTTCCTTATTTAATGGGCTTAATGTCGTTTGGCTAGATGTGCATGTATTATGTCCCTTTTAGGGGGGTCCTCCGTTTACAAAGGCACCGACATGCGAGGATTCAAGGTGACGCAATGAACTAGTTTGTGCACTGGTGAAGGCCATGTTTAAAGCTTTTATTTGATTGGTTTACATTTATGGTCTAGAGGTGTTTTTCTGATTTGACTTTGATACTACATCAGCAAGTTCGGGTTACGTTGCCTCGGTTGAAACAGACCTCCGTCCCTAAGCCGAGGACACCCTTCATCACAGAGGCTGTCTACTAAATCCAGATTTCAACAGTACACTCAACAATGTTGAAATGGTCCGGCGCTACCATAGAACAGTATTGGTGTTCCACAAGGCTCCGTACTATGTCCTCAGATTTGTACAGCATACTCCGCATCAATGTCAAAATTACTTGGTGTTCCAGT